ATTACATATTTGCCCCTTCATTTATTACATAATTAAATTTGAGTCCCCCGAGTATTTATACGAGGTCTAAATACGAACGCCCTAAGTATGGTACAAACAGTAGTCCCCCAAGTCTTTAGTCAAGAGAGTCTTTTGGCTAGAGACTTGAAATTCAGTCCATGTGTGGGTCGAAGTAACTAGATGTCGTCTAGGACTGATACTCGATATGAGACAGTGCTCAATCTGAAATGATGCTCAACTAGAAGTAGCACATGTTGCGAGGCTGCTCGGCTTGTGGCTTATGTTGCCTTGGTTGGCTCGGCTTGTGGCGTTGAAGGTGAGGGAGTCCCTTTTATAGAATAAGGGCTCGTTCCTCATACATAAATGATGGGCTAGAGTTGATGCTCGCGACGAGGCAGTTGCTCAGTAGGCGGCGATGCTCTCTAATGATGGTGAGGGAGTCCCTTTTATAAAATAAGGGTTCGCTCCTCAATACATAAGTGATGGGTTAGAGTTGATGCTCGCGGCGAGACGGTTGCTCATTAGGCGGCAATGCTCTCTAATGATGGTGAAGGAGTACCCTTTTATAAAATAAGAGCTCACTCCTTAATACATAATTGATGGGTTAGAGTTGATGCTCGTGACGAGGCGGTTACTCAGCTGGCGGCGATGCTCTCTAATGATGGTAAGATAACCCCTTTTATAGAATAAGGGCTCGCTCCTCAATACATAAATGATGGATTAGGAGTGATACTCGCGGCGAGGTGGTTGCTCAGCTGGCGGCGATGCTATCTAATGATGGTGAGGGAGTCCCTTTTATAGAATAAGGGTTCGCTCCTCAATACATAAATAATGGGTGCTCTCTAATGAAAGTGAGGGAGTCCCTTTTATAGAATAAGGGTTCGATCCTTAATACATAAATAATAGGCTAGAGTCCCCCAAGTATTTTTCATGAGGCCCAGTTGCGGAAGCCCAATATATGGTACATAGTGTAGTCCCCCAAGTCTTCAGTTAATAGACGCTGTGGGCTGGAGACTTCAAATTCAATCCATGTATGGGCCGAAATAGCGGTTGTTCGAAGGCGGTCTTTGTAGACCATGCACTGAAGCTTTGTAAGTGAAGCTTTTCAAGTGACGCTTTGAAGCTGGAGCTTTTGTAAATAAAGCTTTTTGAAGCTGGAGCTCTCGAAGCTGGAGCTCTGTAAATGAAGCTTTCGAAGCTGATTGACATGAGTGATGCTTATGAATGTTTATGTTGATTGACATGAGTGATGCTCATAGATGTTGACATGAGTGATGCTCATGAATGTTGACATGAGTGATGCTCATGAATGTTGACATGAATGATGGTCATGAATGTTTATGTATGATTGACATGAGTGATGCTCATGAGTGTTTATGTATGATTGACATGAGTGATGCTCATATATAATTTTAGAGTACTGGACGTACTTTTGATCACCTGGTTAGTGATAATAGCGGCAGGGTGTCGAATAAATTTGGAGCCATAGGGCCTGGCTCTTTTGGGCATATGGGCCTTCGCCATCCATATAACATTCCAGCCCATTATTTTGGGCTTGCCGTTTTTTTATTTTATTTTTTATTATTATTATTACCCTCTGATGTGGTTATACAGATGTCTCCGAAAGATAAATAAATTACATCATTCAAAAATAAATCCGACCCCCCTCTGCTCAATGGGTCACGCCCATAATTCCCTTTTCTGCATGCCATCACCACCGCAATTATGTCTGCTCTTTTTATCTTCTTTTGCTTTCTGCTTTTACTTTCTGCTTTTTCTTTCTGCTTTCTGCTTTTGTTTTTCTTTTCCACTGCACCTCTCTCTGTCTCTGTCTCTGCTTTGCTGTCATGCATGTGCACACTATCTTTTGCCGTTACTACTTTGTCAGACGCTCCAATTTGCACCTTTTTTATGGCCCAAAATTGTACTAACACCACATCTTAGAATACTTGCAGTACATTTCTTTCAAATCCAGTCGTAAATCCTTCAGTTCACCTTTCTCGATTCCAGCTTCAGAAGGGAACTTTTTCAAGGTTTTGGAGAACCCATTGTTTTCCAGGAACCGAGCCACGGCGCAGAGGATAACAAGGAACTAACACCTCTAAATCTAGAATCCCAAATAGCATATTACACAATCCAGAATAAAAATAATCCGGAATAGTATAATCAGATAATCCCAGCATCCAAACATCACAAAATTAACCAGAAGAGCGGCCAGAGAAATCGCTTATCTTTGGTGGAGACGCCGTACTTCTTCTACATCCTGGCGATCTCTTCCTCCTTCTTCTTCGTGTCGGACTTCTTGCCCATATTCGCCTGCTGGTAGTAGAGCACGATGAGGTAACATTTTGCGAAGTTGAAGCCGGAAAGGTGATCCACCGTCGTTTTGGCGTCGTAGATGTCCTCGTAAACGACGAATGCAGTGCCTTTGGTGTCCTTGTTCGTCCCGATGCGAATCTGCGGTATTGCGCGTACTTTCCCAAGATGTCATACATCTCATCGCTCGAAATGTTGAAGGGGAGGTTGCGGACGTAGAGCACGTGGTTGACTTCCGGAAAGAGGCGGGTGTTGACTTTAACTTGAATCTAGAGTAGATGGAAGGCCTATTGCATCATTCCGGATCGGCCAAACTTCGAGTTCTGCGTAGTTTCCAGTGTTTTCCGATTCTCCTTCGGTGGTGGTAGTGGGGGTGGTGTTTCTTTTAGCTTTTGAGAGAGAGAAAGTGTAGAGAGAGAGAGAGATGGCGTCTGTGATCTAGTTGCGCCTCTGATGGAGTTTAGTCTAAGCAAGAGAAGGTGGATCAGAAAGTAAATGGAAAAGCACTGGCTGTGAGGAGGACAAATTAGAATATTGGTGTGGTGTTTGGTTTTCTTGGGTTTTTGTAGATTTTGCAGATCCACGGAGGAGGTGAAAAAATGAGAGAGAACCGACACAGCTTTTCGTATCGTTTTCCACAGACGGCGCCAAATGTTGATGCACAAAACCGGAGGGGTCTTGGAACAACGTAAATTCGACCGTGAATCTGCAAGAAAGTAAAGAACACAAGATGTATCGTGCTTTACCCCAATGTTTGGGCTACGTCCACACTGATATTGTATTTTTCTGTTTGTGAGAGGATTGTAAGGGAGAGAGAGCTTTGTAATGTGAGAGTGAGGCTTGAGGTTTGTGAGGGTGAGGAGGCCCTTTTATAGAATAAGGGTTCCTCACTTATTACATATTTGCCCCTTCATTTATTACATAATTACATTTGAGTTCCCCGAGTATTTATACGAGGTCTAAATACGGAGGCCCTAAGTATGGTACAAACACTCATTATCACTGAAATATAAAATGGAATGTGTATATTAATTGATGGAAGTGGTCCAAAGTCAACTGAGATTCATGTTACTCATTACCTCATATTAGCAGATTCCAATCAAAAGATTTGCGGCGTTAATTTCGAGCAAGTTACTTAAGAAATCAACATCACTGTTTATTCTATAAAAATGGTGTATCATTTGCACTACAAAAAAAATGAGCACTGCACACAATAAATTATCTGTGCCCTTTGAGATCGAAAAGCACCAACAATTGTGCCCATAGACCAATAGCAACAATGCAGCTACTATCTTTGGGTCTGTGCCCTCTATGGGCGTCACCATTTCAGAAAGGGCACAGTACGATGATTTGTGCCCAAAGGCTAAGCACAAATACAACCTTTTTTGTGTCTCACCTCTAATAAAGACTATTGAATGTATGGTGTAAGATGGGCACAAATGTTATTTTAAAGGCTAAGATTGCTATATAAATGTTAAAGCAAAGGCACAACTTTAAAATTGTGCCACTCTATTATATTTTAAAAAATACAATAAAGCTCCAGCACAATTGAATAATTAAGATTTTTTTTTTTTGGTAAAATTGGATATTTTTATTTAAATATAGAAATCATCAAGGTTGCTCACAGGACCTAATTTCCACCAAATTTGAGGAACTTACAAATCATCCATTACAAACTAAACATAAATCAACATAGGATTCATTAACATCAGCACTAAAATAGTGAAGTTAATATATTACATAACCCATGTTCTTGGTTAAGACCGATTCATGCAACCTAACAATACAACCCATCCAAATGTTAAACAAAAAAATACATGTTATCCTATACTGGACATACTTGGGATTCTCTATATACAACAAAATATAACATATCTAAGCTTGTATCCCAATTCAAACCAGCAATATATAAACAAAATACACATCTACAAGGGTTGCTTGATGATAACTAACCAGCATTCTCACTTTGGCAGTCCTCATGCATCATAGCGCTAGAAACTGGAGGTCCACACTGCACATTCTTGTCATTTCCACCTTCGAAAAGCGTTGAAATCTGAGGGTGTGAGCTTCCACACCCTTGCTGCTGAGTTGAAGTACTTTGTAGAGCACCTACTCCAAATGAACCAATGTTGATGCCCACATGTGCCAACATGGCTTTCAATTGCTCAGCCATTTGCACCTTTGCTAATCTCAAATTCTCCTCTTGTTCGGCTCTAAGCCTTTGTATGCTTTCTTCTTGCTCTTTTTTTCATCTTTTCTGCTTTCTCATTTGCCTCATGCATCATACGAGTCATTTTTTTTTCTTCCGCAGCAGCAGTGACTTGTTTCTGAGCTTCATAAGCTTCCCGAAGATACTTCACTTCCCTAGAAATACCTCGCTGCTCAGTAATAATTCCTGGTACATCTGCCCAACCAACTCCAAGGCCAAAGCCGCGCACGTGATTTCGCTTCTCTGGCCCCATCACTTCTGCAAAAATCCTATTTCGAATCTCTGTTGTTATCTCTTCACCACGCTCACAAACCTCCACTTCCAGATTTTCAAATGCCAACTGTTTGAAAAAGTCTTAATCATTCGTAAATGCATAAAATTTCGTTAAAGGTTGCTAGAAATAAATTTAGTCAAGTGAAAATGTACAAATTACCATCATTCTGCCAGATTCATCATCAACTGGGAGTTGCTTAGGTCCTCTTGTGTGTGTCATTTTGAAAAAAGTCACACGATCAGGTTCATTTCCATCATGTTCTTCAGCCTAAGACACAAAAAAAGATCACGAAAACAACCACAATTATTAAATAATCACATTTACAATGACTAAAAATATATTGCAGTATATATAAACATAAACAAAAGACATGACCAAGGACAACCAAGTTGGCTATTGAGGAGTATCTGAGAAAAAATCCACATGCAAATCCTGGTTTTTCTTTGACAGTTACTGTCTTGACCACTGGCTTCTGGCCAAGCTACAAGACTGTTGACCTCAACCTACCCCCAGATAAGGTATACCGATTTTGCTGAGAAAATACCCTTGCAAAATTTACTATCTGCTGGGTTAAGAATCTCAGGGATGTTTCCAACTTCTTTATATTTCACTCCTGCTTTAGGTTAAGCGCGTAGAACTTTTCAGGGAATTCCATCAAACGAAGACAACATAAAAAGCTTACATGAATGTACTCACTGGGTACTTGTAACATCGTTGGGAAATTTGAACTAAAAACCGTAGAGCTTATTGTGACGACTTATCAAGTGATGTATTTAAGATATGAATTGAACTCTCTCTAATCTGTGATCTATTTCCCATATTTTTCTATTAGTGTTTTGTTTATTTCTAAGACTGATTTTGCTTTATCTTACTTTAGCCTTGAGCCCTGTTGTTATTCAATACCTCAGATAGACTGAGTTACTCGGAGATTATGACTCAGTTAAACTTGAACGATGATGATGTTGTCAGACTACTCCATTACTCGGATATTTTAACTTTCTGGATTAATGCATTATCAATTTGGTGGTAGGTAATTTGTAAGTGTTGACACTGACACCCATTTGTTCTTGCTGCATGCGTGGAAAAATGAGGAACAAATCACAAGAGAAAGATCCTATTACCATCCCTAAACTAACCTATGATACAAAATGAGGAACAAATCACAGAAACTAAATCAAGTTTTAACCATGTAATTATAACAGGAATGAAATGAAGACTAAGGTTGTGAGTTAATCATGACATATGTTCACTATCTTAAGCACTATTCATGTAACTTTATATTCATCTTTAATAAATCAGAAGATATATTGACAATCTTAAGTACTATCTAAAACAAGTATTCATGGCAACATCAATTTATAATAGTAAAAGAATCAACTCACATAATCATTCCGTATTTGAGCAAAAGTTGTTGTCCCAGTTGTGTGACTCGTCTTTAACATTTTTCGATTCTTGGCATTAGTTGCACATCTCCGCTGGTTCACATCAAATAAACAAAACCACAAAGGAAAATAATCATTTTATCAAACCTTAAGTTTCACTTCAAATAAGGTTTACTGAAGTATAGTAACTATACTAGTGAAAACTTTTACAAACCTTATTTTCCATTTTATCCCACTGAGCTACCAAGGCTTGCCATTGTGTCTGGATTACCCTAGCATCATTGCAGTGCTTTCTTTGCTCGGAGTTCTCAAAGGGAACATAATACAACTTACGGAGTTTACCCCTCCATGTCCTGAAACGATCATGTATTTTCGTTTCCACAATACCCTTGACTTTCTCCTCTTTGCCAGCAGCTCTTGGATTTGTCCAGTCTATAGTGGCCTACATAAACAATAATTAAATAGTCACAGAAAATTGTAAGCATCCACCAAGTCAAATTTTACAAATTTGTAGGATCTATTGCATCAATACCTGGACCAATGACCACACTCGATCAAGTTTTGAAGAATCTAGTTTGCGCCAATCAGGTGAATCAATTGGGATCAATCCACCATCACGAGCCAACATGGCTATGTAGCGGCCATATCTGGCCACATTGTCACGAGGAGAAATAGCTTGACCATATTTGTTGAAGTTCAACTTTTCACGCCTCCCCCTGCCCCATCGTATTCTGTTAACTCCCCTATTCTTCTTTCGAGTTGTGGCTGACAAAGAAGTTGAGCCACTTGATAGCGCATTTCCACTACATGTCGCATGGGGTTGGTTGGTTGCAAATGAATCATTTTGAGCAACTACACCAAATGGGGAGTGTGGCTGAGTTTCCACAGATGCCAAAAATGCATCATCATCAAGCATCAGATTAGCCATCTACATTGCAAATTGCAAATGAAGTGTAATCAACATGAGCTATTCATTTACACCAATGAATATACAGTTAACACCAGACAACTATTCATTTACACTAATGAATATACAATCAACAAGAATATACATTTACACCAATGAATATACAGTCAACAAGAATTATTACATGTTTTAAGTTTGTGACTCTACACACATCAGTTCAAAAGATTTCAAAAACTGAAATTTAGCAGTGACACTGCCAACGATTCATTGTTACCATGCATTGATGGTCATTGGCCACAAAAGTTGAGTTTGGACTACCCAGGCCCATTAACTAAATGACAAATCCATAGTCGAGAATTCCTCATACCCATCTATTCACTTAATGGATCTAACCATGCCCACTAAAAAGACAAGTGGTATCGGTGAAGACCACTGGGTTATGGCTATCCAGGTTCAAGTAAATGGTTTTCTAAGCTGCATTTTTTTCTTTTTCTTTACAAGTACGGTTTTAGTTCCAATACTTTAGTAATAAAAAATAGTTTATAAACATAAAACAAAAGGATATCCCAAGTAAACAGAATCACATATGTCTTAATAATATCTTAAAGTACATACCCACCCCTGGAATGTGAAAACTTCAATGAATAAAGCATCTACAACCTTAAAAAAACATAAGAGATCTCCTAAAGGATGATAACAAGAAAGGAGTAAATAATAATCAAGGTTCGTTATACAGAGAGTACAGATATACAACCAGGCTTTGGAAGAAAGAAAAAAGGGATATAAGGAGGAAGCAACAAAAGTTACCGACTAAAACTTCCAATGAGCCTGGCCCTGCAAATCCTGCACCTGTTGAACCAAATTCTACAAGACATATGTTATAGCCAAAAGTTACATTTTATATATGACAGCAATAAGTAGAGTAATATGCTTCGTATTACTCTGTATTTATTGGAAGTAGTGTCTACTATGGATTGTACACTGCAATTTTAACAAACCTATCATAAAAAAAAACTCGGCTCTACTTGCTCTTCAAGCATACATTACATATGTTTCGGGATAATCCTCAAGTACATGTGTATAGCAAGCATCTAATTATCTTCTATCTGTTGAATCCATGGGTACTCTATCAAGAAGTTGCTCAAAACTTGTACTTTAAACCTAAGCAAAAAAGTTGTATGAGTCATTTTCTGACAATTTATAAGAACGAAATTCTAATTTATCCGTAACATCAACGAAAGGAGAAAACTCAAACTATATAATCAATCTTATTTGTCAATTTCACATAAACATAAGCAACACTACAATTTCATAAACATACACATAATCAACCCAAGTTCTATTTGTCAATTTCATACCAAGCAAAAAAAGATGGAGCCATTGCACCCACCCACCCTCCCAATGACCTCCATGTCCTGCACCCATCCTAAACCAGAGCACAATGGATTGTAATGTGAATTTGTTGAACAGTTTAGTTAGTTTTTATATTCGTGTTCGAAGAGTTTGGTGGGATGTGCTTGCATTGTGTTTGATAGATATCCTCAGAAGACTGTTGTGACAATAAATTGTATGCTTTCTGGTTTTGTGAAGAACAACTTGTTTGGTGCAGCATTGGATTTGTTTAACCGAGTTTTGAGTTACGATTTTAGTTTGGGATTGATGCCGAATTATGTTACTTTGGTTGTTTTGATTTCAGGGTGTGTGGATTTTGATGAGTTTAATGTGGGAAATGCACTTCATTCATACTGTTATAAGGCAGGTTTGGATTTGGTAAACGAGCTTTGTAATGTGCTTATTGATTTGTATTCAAAGTTTGTGCATGGAATACCATGCTGGAAGGATGTTTTATGACATGCCTGAGAGGGATTTGGTTTCATGGAATACCATGATTGCAGGATATGCTGGAGTTGGTGATTGTATAAGAGCTTTCTCTTTGTTTAGAGAAATGAAAGCAGGGGACTTTGGATTCGATAAAGTATCGCTGATTAGTTTGATTTTGGCTGCTTGTAATAGTAGAGATCTTGGTATGGGGAAGATGATTCATGGGTATATGACAGCTAATGGAACAAAAATAACTGTAGATATTTGGACGGCACTGATTAACTTTTACTCCATTGAAACCCTTCTAATCCCAAACACCTGCACCCATCCTAGATTCCTAATCTCAAACCCACTGTCCTCCGAAACCCACTGTCCTGAAACCATAAACTACATTCGACAAAATACACATCCAATCTGACCCTAAACCCTAAAGAACAAAAACCCATTGAAAAATTGAATTTAAGAAACCTCACCTGTATTTTGGGCCTCCTGTGTCTCTATGTGTGTCGCCGGAGGAATGCCTTTGAACTGGACAGATGAGCGGTGTTCAAGTGGATGGACTCGAAGGAGGAGTGCGTTCGAACTAGAAGGAGGAGCGTGGATAAGCGGCGTTCGAATTTTGGAGAGTGAGGGTGATACGGACTGAAAGATAGAAGGGGATTGAGTGTGATACGGAGTGAGAGATAGAATGGGAGTGAGATGGAAATAGGGTAGAATTTTAATTATTATTGTAAGTAGTGGGCACAATTTTTATTATAATAACTATTTTTTAATTAACATTATAAGAGTTAGTGGGCACAATTGTGTATTGCAGTGGTGGAAAGCCAATTTTTTGAATTTGGTGGTGGGAATTGCACCATAAAAGAGAGGGAAAAGTCCAAAACCTTTAATATTACTGTATTCTGTCGCTCAAGCGAAGGTGGTATAACTATGTTCAGCCGCTCAAGCGGTGGTATTACTGTATTCTGCCGCTCAAGCGAAGGTGGTATAACTATGTTCAGCCGCTCAAGCGGTGGTATTACTGTATTCTGCCGCTCAAGCGAAGGTGGTATAAACTATGTTCAACCGCTCAAGCGAAGGTGGTATAACTATGTTCAGCCGCTCAAGCGGTGGTATTACTGTATTCTGCTGCTCAAGTGAAGGTGGTATTACTTTATTCTGCCGCTCAAGCGACAGATTCTCTATACACTAATTATGGTTTGATGGTTATGATCTCTAGAAGGTCTAACATAGCAAGCATCTAATTTATCTTCTATCTGTTGAATCCATGGGTACTCTATCAAGAAGTTGCTCAAAACTTGTAATTTAAACCCAAGAAGCGTAAACAGTTATGACGCCATTTTATCTGTATTTGTTGATGGACATGCACCAGAAATTCAACGTAGGAGGGGCCATTCGAACTCTGGTCTTCTACCATATAGTAGCAAAACAATGTTCCTGTGAGGAAAAATAATTCAGTACTTAATCAAAACCAAGTTTTTAGATATCCGGCCTAGTACGTTTTGAAAAACAAGTTTAACCTTTGTTCTCTACATCTGATTTCTAAAGCTTTACTTAAATACTAAATTCAGTTATATATGCAATATTATATCCTAATAGAAGTACACTATAAGCTTACATAACAAAAGACATGACCAAGCAATAACAATTTTTGCTCATTACACCACAGTTTAATTAGATATAAGTTCCTGATGATTACAAGTTTGATAATCGTTCCGCAACAACAATTTCTACAACATCCGGTCTTGTTTGAACCATATCATCATCCCCTGACGTGTTTCCTATATCTTGTGCTGTGTTGAGGTCTTCTATATCTGTATCGAGCATGTTGTAAACATCTCGTGGCTTTGTCTTGGTAGCAACATACCAATCAGTGTCAATAGGATCTTGAACATAAAATACTTGCGTTGCTTGTGACCCCAGTATGAATGAGTCATCCGGAGGTAAACGATGTTCACAATTAACTAAAGTGAACCCATACTCATCCTTCTTAGTACGAAACCCTTTGCTCTTGACATCAAACCAATCACATTCAAATAGCATAACCTTCCGACCATTGTGATAATCTAACTCAATGATATCTGTCACAACACCATAATAATCTACATCTCCATACCTTGGATTCCTATCGACGGTAGTAGCAAAACTACTAACTTCTGATGCTAAAAAAAACACCACTATTTTGGGTTCGTGCATGTCGATCAGCAGAAGCAACCTTAAATCGATTTCCATTCATGATGTACGTGGTATAACGGTTTACCCACTGCATCGGTCCAGCAGCCAATGCACGTATATCGTCTTTAATAGCTACCTCATCATTCGCCCCTATATATTATGTACCTGCATTGAATTAAAACATAGTTACAAAAATACACCATAATTGAGTCCTCAATTTAATATTGAAACTTAATACAAATATAAGGTACATTATCCCGACACCATTGAGGGAAACTATCTAAAGCTTCTCTTTCTGCATCATATATGGTAGTTCTTCTGCCACGAGTGGAAATTACATCTGACATATGTCTCCTACAAGACCAACACATAAATCAATTCAACATCCACGCTAGTCCATGAAACATGTACTAAGGTAATGTCATTGTTATAACTATACCTTAAGTATTCTGCCATTTGCGGATAATTTACAAGGACATAGCGATGAGCCATTTCAAACCTCGGACGTTCTAGTAAAACAGTTTCAACAGCACTTGCTGGTTTGCCTTGGCTACCAAATAAAGGAAGTCCTTGCCGTGCATCACCTTGCATCACATCATAGTTACGTCCAGGCCTATTGCGACGGGTAACAACAGAGTCCTCCATGTACATGGAGCAAAATGATACACACTCATCTAGATTAACAGCCACTGCAATACATCCTTCTGGTTGACTCTTGTTGCGCACATACGATTTTAGAAGATGTAGGTACCTGATTGTTGAACAAAAATCTTTAAGCAAAATGTAATGATGGAAAAAAAATACTAAAATTACAAAGTGAACTGAGGAGGTGTTTTACAAAACTAACACCTTTCAATGGGGTACATCCATCGGTATGGGACCGGGCCAGCAACAGCAGCTTCATCCGCAAGGTGAATTATCAAGTGTACCATAACGGTAAAGAATGATGGCGGAAATAACTTCTCCAGATGGCATAGAGTTAAGGCAATGCTTTTTGACAAGCCATTGAACAATTCTTCAGTTCCAGTTTTTGAACAAAGTTGGCGAAAAAATCTGCTCAACTCTAACAACACTATAATAACCGATTTCGGTAACACTTTTCGTATTGCAATAGGGAGGAAGACCTGCATCAGCATATGATAATCGTGGCTTTTCAATCCAATTAACTTCTTTTCTTGAATATTAACACAGTTGCTGATATTAGAAGAGTAGTTGTCTGGCACCCGAATTGATTCCAAAACCTGGCACAACATTCTTTTCTCCCCAGGTTTCATATTGTATTCCGCCGCTGGAAGCTTTGTACGGGCACCATCTGCCCGTGGGTGGAGATCATGCCTAATGCCCAACTCTACGAGATCAGCCCTTGCCCTAATACCATCTTTAGTTTTCCCTTCAATTTCCAAAAGAGTGCCAATAACATTTTCAGCTACATTTCTCTCTCTATATGCATGACATCCAAGTTATGCCGTAGTAGGAGATCCTTCCAATAAGGCAATTCAAAGAATATTGTCTTTTTTGTCCACTGACCACGTACGTGTCCATCATCATTCCACCCCCGCTTACGACCACTTACCCTTGCACCCTTGCCAAATCTGAAGGTCAATCCCGTCACTTCCAATAAACAATCCATGGCACTTCTTGGTTTAGGGGGGTTTCGAAATTCTTGAGATCCGTTAAAAGTTTTTTTATGTCTCCAGTACCTGTGTGACATCGGGAGCCATCGTCTATGTCCCATGAATGCAAACTTTTTCCCATGCTTAAGCCATAAAGAATCGGTGTCATCACTGCAAGTCGGACAAGCTTTCTCACCACTAGTGCTCCACCCTGAGAGCATGGCATAAGCAGGAAAGTCATTGATAGTCCACAACAATGCAGCACGCATGGTGAAGGTTTCTTGATGGTGACTATCAAATGTTCGCAAACCTGTCATCCACAAATGTCGTAAGTCATCAATTAGCGGCTGCAGGAAAACATCAATTACATCACCGGGACTTTTTTTGCCTGGAATTAGGAGGGACATCATGATATATAAGGTTGTTTCATGCACATCCAAGGCGGAAGATTATAAACTACAACTAAAACAGGCCATGTGCTGTGGGGTTTGCCATGCATACCAAACGGATTGAATCCGTCGCTTGCAAGCCCAAGACGGACATTGCGACACTCACTTGCAAAATCTGGATATGTATTATCCAAATGCTTCCAAGCCGGAGAATCAGCAGGGTGCCTCAAAACACCATCGTCAGTTCTAATCTCTGAATGCCATATCATTGACTCAGCTGTGTAACGAGACATGTACAACCTTTGTAGTCTAGGACCTATGGGAAAGTAGCGTAAAACCTTTTTTGGTACCTTCGTACATTGGATCGTTCCTGAATTTCCCTTCCTCTGCTTATATCTACTAGCACCACACTTTGCACAAACGATGGCATTTACATGCTCTTTCCAGAATAGCATGCAATTATTTCGACACGCATCTATGTTTTGGTAATCCAACCCTAAAGCCCGGATAATCTTCTTTGTATAGTACAAATTTGGAGGAAGAGTCTCGCACATAGGAAAATGCTCTCTTATTAGTGCCAACACTGAACCAAATACAGCATCACTCATTCCATATAACAATTTTGATTGATATAATTTCACCACAAAATCCAACTTTTTCTTCCTACTACCTGGATATAATTCTCCATCTGCTTCTCGTAGAATGTTGTCGAATTGGCCATTATCAGTTGTTTCATCACACGCAGAAGAAGATTCAGCAACATGGTCTGACTCATCCATATGCACATGGTTACTGAAAACATCATGAAGCATCGCTGCCATGAAATTTTCGGGGCTTCTTTCATTAAGAGCTTCAGTAGTTGGACTTGATATGTTATCAGAAGTATGCACCTGTTCGCCATGTTCAACCCAAGGTATATCTATGTAATGGGGATCCATACCTTCGACATAGAGGTGTTCATCGACTTCAAATGGATCACGATAAAAACATATTGCAACAACGCCGACAGGGGCACTTAATTTTTCCTTGAAGGGCAGCAACGTCTAAAGCGTTACTGATGAATGCACGCCTGCCAATCAAGTATTCATTGGTCGTCCTATTCAGATGCACCCATTCTTTGTTCATCTTTAGCTACAAGCACGTATGAAATTATAAAAACATATGATTACACGATAAGATTAGTGAACTGAGACAATCAAATAAAAATGTTCCTAAACATCCAACCTAATATCCCAAAATTCACAAACCAACTAAAACTAGATGTGATCTACATTGAAGTAGCTTATTCACTAACGGTGTACACTACTTTGAATAGAATTTTGTTTCGTTTCAATGAACGCCATTTGAAGTCTGCTACTGAAATCCTACAACTTACGTTGCGAGAGACTTATGCTTGTTGTTTTATTCATATTATATCAGACCACAAAGAAAATTTCACCAAACAAATTGAGTACCAGCAAATCGCAGAAACAAAACGGTTCAATCTTTTTCCCATGTTGTTCGATTCCTTGTTGTTTTATTCATATTATGTATAAATTATGAAAGAAATATAGTAGGAATGGCAACTCAAAACTCCATGTTCCTCTGTTACAATCTCAAATTTCCTTATTAGACAGTTCTGTCAAAAAAATAAAAAAGCACATACTGGTGAGTAATATATAACTTTCATCATGCTGGCTCCATTACAGTTGATATAATATTTGAAGGATGATAAGCCTGACGTTCATGGCTTACACTTATGCATTACACACCTCTTAATCTACAAGTCTGTTAGCTTGAAAACAGTTTTTATTGTGAACTTCCAATCAATAAGTAGCCTATGGGAAAGGTCACAGGCCTAAACATTGTCACTGAGGTTACCTCATGACCAAAAAGAAAATTTCACTAAACAAATTGACTACCAGCATCTCTCCCATGTTTTTCGATTACTTCTTGTTTTATTCATGCTATATATCAGACCACAAAGAAAATTTCACCAAACAAATTGAGTACCAGCAAATCGTAGAAACAAAACAGTTCAATCTCTCTCCCATGTTTTTCGATTATCCAAGCGAGCCACCAAATAAGAACAGAAAAAAAAACATATATAAAATTCAAATACCTGAAGAAAGCCACAATAGATGTGCGATTTGGAGCAAAACAAGGAGTTGAGTAGGAACTAGGCACCGGCCGTTCAGAAATTACTGGGATAAAGATAATTTTGTGTTTGTAGTTATGATTCCTCTGCCCAGATGGGCAAGGTTGGATTTTCCTTTGCCTAGATGTGCAGCTACATTTACAGAAACCCAAACTGAATATGTTAGATATACAGACACCCCGATTGATCAATTCTGAAAAGGAATTGGATAAGTACCTGAAATCGGAAAGAATCGAGGGAAGTGAGAGAAGGGTACAGGTGGGAATTCAGGAATTCTGAATTCGCATTGAAGGAAGCCTGAAAAGTGCCAACTTTTGGAGGAAGAAAGATTGTTCCTTTTCCGTGGAATGAAGCTACGGCGCCAAGCAGGCTTGGATTAGCAAATTAGCATGATCAAAGGCTTGCCTGTCAGGCTTGATTTGTTCTTTCATTTTTTTCCCTTTTTCTTTTATTTTTTCTTTCTTTTTACTGGTAAAGTGTCATAATGCTTGCGTTGACACGTTGTGAGTTCATTGATTTGTGCGGTATGAACCAAACGAGAAACATAATTATAAACCAAAAAATATATAATGCTGGGAGTATCTATATCATGGGCCAATTAAAAAGAAAATATTATTATATTGTAATACTACATAAGTTGATAAGCGTACCCAATAGGAGTCAAGCATAGCATAAGATAATTATATTTTTCACACACCAGTGAAATATAACATAATACAAAATATATTAATTGTCCTCGTCGTCGCTGCTTAAAATCTCAACGGTAACATTCTGCATATTTCGTGAGGTCATCTGTGGGACAGACAGGCCTGTAGGACGAACTTGTGCTTCATAAGTGCGTGGTTCTTCAATAATAAGGACAGAACTAGTAGACTCTTCAGTTGTTGTTTCAGCAGAAACCAAATTAACAGGGTATTGTTCTGTCCTACCTGGGTTTGCCCATGTTGGCAATACACGTCCTTGAGGTGCACGTACATAGCCGTTATTGGAGGGTAATGCGTAGCCAAGGCGACCATCAGCAACAGTAGTAAGAATGTACTGATTATCAATAGAACGAGGTATGCGCCCACCATTAACATGTTGTCTTGGACGTTGAGCTGGAGGATTCGTTGTGGAATTTGCTGTTGTAATGTTGGAAGCAATAGATGAATGTGATGCTGGAGATTCGGTTCCAATTCTAACTCCGCGACGTCGCCTGTCTGCCATTTTGAATGATGTAGAACTTGATCAAATTCAAAAGAACACAAGTGTATGAAGCAACCTTCTAATTTTCCATATGCAAATTAGTAAGGGAGTGCAGAGGTTTTATACCAGAATTTGGGCACAAATCCATAATTGTGCCAACACATTCCTTTGTTACAGAGTGATTTATTATTTATTAATATTTACTGGACACAATTTCTCTAACATTTGTGTCAGAAAAAGGAATTTATAATTATTAAGATATATTCTCTATTTGAAGACCCAACGACAGTAGAGTGATTTATTATTTTTTTTTAATATTTAGTGGGCACAATTTCTATATTAGTGTCATAAAAAGGAATCTACAATTATTAACTCATTTGTCTACCAACACTAAGGGCACATTTGTTGGTTATGTGTCACTGCATAAAGGACTTTAATACAGTAAAAAAAAATTATTGTTGGTTCTATGTCACTGCATAAAGGTCTTTTAATACAGGAAAAAAAGACTTTTAATACAGTAAAAAAAATAATTGTTGGTTATGTGTCACTGCATAAAGGTCTTTTAATACAGTAAAAAAAAAAAAGAAACACTTACTATAAAACCAAAAACCATATCACCAAGTATAAAAACCAAACCTGCAAGAAGATAACAATCCAAAAAGTAGTTCAAAAATATACGAATCTAACAAACATTCATTGCAGCTGGAAATGATCCTTTGTTAATCTAAAACACGTTACTTAGTACTACGGTGTAGTGATATTCTTCTTTACTTGTAATTAAGAGATCTGAGGTTCAGCTGTTGCCAAAAAACGAATTTGAACAACATTATTGCTAACTTATTTTGAGGCTAAAATATTGTACAGTAATAAACAGCTCCACACCATTATTTACCACAATTTTATAAATTTTAATTATTGGTGTACTAGAGGAGGTAAAGACAAACGAGAGAGAACATATAGTGCCTCTGACAAATAATTTTTATAGACACAAAATGTTTTTTGTGCCCATCTTTCGTAAAAACGTTGTCATCTGACCCCATTGGGCACGGTTTCCGTGCCCATTACTGTTTTGTGTCTACTTTTTTTAACATTGGGCACAATAGATGGTGCCCTCTATGGAATGAGAACTGTTTAACCTTTTTGGTGGTCAAACTGACACAAATTTCTCAATTGTGCCCTTTGTTTTGTACCCAAAGCTCATTTTTCTTGTAGTGTTGGCACAACGTATTTCTCTTTTGAGAGCTTCTGCCGACCTTCTCTGTC